CGTGTATAGTGGGATCATCATCGGCCTCAGGATGCGCATCCTCTGGTCGAGTAGGAGAGTCTGGAAGTGCGGCATGGTGTTGCGTTGGAGTCTGCGCGTTATGAAACCCACTAGTCATGTCGTGTATAGTCTGATCGTCGGGGAATTCCTCGCCATCTTCCTCGCCGCCTGCGGCTCCGTGTTGCATCTGAGTGTTGTGACTTCCATATGCTCCGGGGAAGTGACTTCCACCCGGGGTCGGGGCATGCGCCTGGGTATTGTGATCTCCATATGCTCCGGGGAAGTGACTTCCACCTGGAGTAGGGTGTGCATCCTCTGGACGTGTAGGGGAGTCTGGAAGCGCGGGCTCGTGTGGCATGGGAGTCTGCGGGTCATGAAATCCACCGGTCATTGCGTGCATAGTCTCTTCGTCGGGAAACTCCCCGTCCTCGTCGCCTTCCTCGCCACCTGCGGCAGGTACATTGCCATGCGTGGACGGCGCCGTATGAGAAGACCTAGTGCTGGTGGGCGAAAATTGAAACGAAGGCTGGGAACTATGGACTGTGGAAGGTGTTGGCAAAGGCGCCTCTGAGTTGTGTGGCGATGCAGCCGGATGTCCGTTACCACGGGGAGGAGGCGGTCGAGAAGCCTGTGGACGACCTGTAGACGATGAATGACCGGAAGTAGACATGGCGTGCAATGAATGAGTTTGTTGTCTGAAATGGAAACCGTCTGCGCTTCCTCTAATTACGATTCGGAATGATTGAACACTTGAAGCAGACTCAACGAACGGAAACCCAGAGCTGCCGTTTAAATAACCATTTGAACATCTCTCTTGGGAAAGTTTCCATCAGGCTGGCCATGCCTTTAAGAAAAGCTGTGCTATTATCAGGCATGTCCAACTGCGGCAGACGTACAGGTTTGGTGAAGCGCTGATTTTCCCAGATATTCTTTGTGGGGCGGCTGTTTGGCTTTGCTGAGACTGTCGGGTGCTGATGTGGCTGGAGAAGAGACCCCAACGCTGACCACATGGTAGGTTCTCTCCTCTCACCAACATGTTGGTACTCCTTTCAGGATTGTCCCTGTCCACGAATGATGGTGGCAGCTGTTTCGGTAGTGGCGCAGACATGTGTCTGATGTTGACCTCTCGCACCTCGACAATGTTAAAGATGGAGTATGAGCGGAGCTTGAGCGGAGCTGGAATGGAGCTCTGCTGACGATGAGATCTGTACGAGTACCATTTCGGTCGGCACTGGGCGGTGATGTTGTGCGATTCAAAGGCTGGTAGAGAATGGGGAGACCAACCCCTTTTTGGGGGCCGGGTATCTGAGAACCTTGATGATCCTGATCCCGAATGGGAATAAGCAATCACCTATTACTTGTCACATTATGCGCAAACGACAAACGTACCCAATCGCTATACGAGTAATACGGTTGGAGCCGAGGAGGGTGAGCGAGGGCTGCTCTCACCTGAGCTCTCACTCATAACCCCATTCATTGACTCAGCGGAATGAGCCCCACTAAGCATGCCCCCAGGGGCCAGGGCCAGGACGAGTAGGACACGGAGCTATATTGGTATGAGCCAGGAACATCTAGACTGGGCCTGTCACGATCATTTTTGGAGCATCTTAGCTAATAAAATATTACTTTCCAATAAGTCAACAATCCGGAGCCAAACCTGACAAGATGCTCTGGTAGACTGGCTTCTAGCAAAGCCGCGCCTGTGTTACGAGGCGGTCGAAGTTGACGCCTACATCCCAGCAGTGAGTGAAATCTTATACAGAGCTCTGTCCCTCTCTCTCCGTGTGCCCATGAGTATACAAAGATGTCTCCTCTATGGTGCATACTCAATACCTTCGTACTCGTTACCTACGTTATCGTGAATCTCGCCGACCTCGGAGCCTCGTCCGCGGATTTCCCCATGCATCTCCGCACCGGCCCCGGCTGGATTGTTTCTACTCCTCACAGCCTTGCACTCGGTAACCTTATTGCTCGGCTATCTAACAAGGCATATATACATTATATATACACACATAGTTGAATTTATCCCTCCCGAAGTCTCTATATGTGTCCCAGCTGCGTGGTACGAATTGTCCCAGGAAAGAGAGACTTGATTACCTCCCCCACTTTAAGGCTTTGACTCTATCCGATCAATCATGGCATCACAATACCTCAGCAGCATGTTCTCACTTGAGGGGAAGACCGCCATCATAACCGGTGCAACAGGTAATAATAAATATGGACCCCTTCCCCCCTCGCAGAAGGACCCTTCGGCGACAAGGTCTTGACATGTCCGGGATTTGCTCACTCTAAGAGCAGGTGGGCTGGGCTCGGCCCTCGCTGTCGCGCTGGCGCAGGCGGGCGTGTCGGCCGTCATCTCCATCGAAGCCCCCAACGACCCTCTTTCGGCGGATCTAAAGACCAAGATCGAGAGCGTAGGGGGAAAATTGACCACGTTCCACTGCGACCTGCGCAACCCCAAGAGTCTCCGAGAGTGCTACCAGTCGATATGGAAAGCCGGGATTGTGCCCGACGTCTTGCTCAATGTCGCTGGTGTCATGCGCCGGAATCTTTGCGAGAATGCCACCGATGACGAGATTGATCTGGTGAGAGTTGAAGACCTAACCCGACCTCCCCCTTTCTTTCCCTTAACTCGTTACCTTTGCAAAGAGGTGCAGACACTTACATCTTCCATTAGCTGGTGGATGTAAACATGAAAGCAGTCTACATTTCCATGCAGGAATTTGGCCGCAAACTCTTAGCTCTGGGACGACCTGGGAAAATCATCAACATTGCTTCCGTCACCTCTTATCAAGCTGGCTTCAACACGAGCGTTTATTCAAGCACCAAGGGCGCCGTGCTGCAGATGACCAAGGCCTTCAGCAACGAGTGGGCGAGCAAAGGTATCCAGGTGAATTGCATCGCGCCGGGATTCATGAGGACTTCCATGACCGCCCAATATCAAGATGACCAGAAGATGATTGACTATCTCATGACGCGAGTTCCGATGCAGCGATGGGGGGAACCTCAAGATCTGGTGTCCGCGATGCTCTTCCTGGCTGCGCCAGGAAATACTTTCACATCTGGAGCCTGTTTGATTGTCGATGGCGGATATTGCGGCAAATAGTTCTCATAAAAGGCCAATGAAACTGGCGGTAGAGGTCATTTCCATCGGTATGAGACGAGGTGGTCAGCCGTGGCCTGAGCTAGTTCTCGCCAAATCCGAGCTCCGTAGTCCGCCAACAGGGAGTTTTCCTTCCCTTTTACCACTGCACTGACAGAAAAACGCGGTGCGCCAGTTTTAGACTGCACTTGGCTAGAATCTTCTGCTGGCGCCCATGCTTCGTATTCCAATTCCAAAAAGGCGTGAATGTCACTGCTAGTCCTGACCATGTGAACGTTTGGGTCCAATCGACGAAGCCCTCCACCCGACGTATCACCGGAATATGTTGTTCTATATGATGTCTTCAATTTCGGTGAGAGAGGACAGAGAGTTCGGTTCCCCATTGGCGATCGGCGAAATTCAGGGAGGTGTTCAAAGCTTTCGGGTGTGGCCACCATCATAAAGGTCCCAGCAGCATAGCAGTCGGCCTTTCGTTCCCTTTCTTCATTGCTTTGTAATGTACAGAAGCTAGAGAGACCGTCATGCTGAGGAGAAGGTTTTGCAGGAGGACTGCCGTGATGCCAAACGCAGGAACTGGATCTGTTGACGTTGGGATATTGGCGAAGGATTCGTGCTGTGTCATCGCGAAAGCAGAGTCTTGGTGTCCATTGACAGAAAAGATGTAAGCGTTGGCAATGTTCACACCTGGGCCGTAGCTCATCGCATTTGACCTGTAGAAGAGGGTCAACTCTGTCAAGGTGTCACACACCATGATTCGCATACCTTTCGATCCCGGCACGTTTGGCATCCAGTTCTCGTCCTATTGTACGGGTGTGACGAAGAGTTTTTCCTTGGGCTGGCTTGTTGCACCTTTTGCTCTTGCTCGAGGTTCCGGGATGATGGCGGCGGACTGGTCCCCAGGCTCATCTCTCGCGGATCATCCGTGGAGGGGTGAAAGGCTCTGGGTGGAGTAGACGACGGTCTTATGGCGGGGTAGCATTCTCTGCTTCGCACTCGGCAGGACCAACTTCACAATTCAGCTTAGGTGACAAGTGGTAAGAAACTCTAGGAGGAACAGCGCATTTTTGGCACTGGGCAATCTTGTTACAAGTAGCCAGCTGCTTCCAGCTCCGGAGCGTAAGCATGGGATCTAGACCGTGACTAGACCACGGGTCATGAGGCTCACCTTTACGTGCTCTTTGGCGTTTAACAGGTCGTGGCAGATCATTCCTCAACAAAGGAACACCCGGGCCGCTCGGACGTTGCATTGCCATTTAGCAGCGGAGATCATCTCCGAAGCGAGGACGATCCGTGCTGATCCCATTACCAAGACAATCGTTCGACCTCACTTAGCGAGGATGATTATGTAGCTTCCTCCAGCAACTACCTAGGTACATACAACGCCTCAGGTCCTTTCAGCCAGCGAGGCAACCCCTTTCCGCTGCTAGCCTTGCTTAACGTGCGATTATCTTGTCACCCCTGGAAATCCAAGCCACAGGCACAAGAGACGGATCTATGTACCGGGGATGTTTCGAAAAAGGATGGCTCAACAGTTGAGGAATGGTGGTTAAGGATCTCTTTTCCCTCCAGCAAAGATGTCACTTAACCTGCTGAGAGGGGCTATGAGTTCAAACTGAACCCTGGTTGCGGTCGTTGAAGCTGGTAAGATGCCCTGCTTGGCTTCCACCTCTTGGATCCATTAGCAGGTCACTTGGTCCAGCAGACTGGCCCGGAATACGGTCCAAATTATCTGGAGACTCAAAATCAAAGGAGGCTGAGCGACAGGTGCTAAACCTCAATCGTCCGTGTGAGGCAACTGACAAGCCCTCAGCCACAAATGTGCCGCGTGTTATATCCCAAGTATGATCCCAGGAACCTAGATCCGGAGATATTTTCCGAGGACCGACGAAAGGTGATTCATGAAAAGAACATGTCTGTCACCTGTCTGCGGATCGAGATCCCTTAACACCGGAGTCCATAAGATCTGCATTTGAGGGATATAAGGGGAGTCTCGTCGAATAAAGGTTCTGTGGCTCCAACTCTTGACAATGAAAAGCTAACCAATGAGGCCAATTCGAGACCTCTTGAGAGAACAAGCACGCTTTTTCAGGGTCGGTCGGAAAGAGGTTTGTTTGTGTTCCTTGTCCTTGAGCGGTTTCTTTTCCCGGCCATGGAAAGCTAGACAAACTGATGAGGCCTTATTCAAAGTGAATCCAATGTTTCGAAAACCCTAAAACGGGAACGCCATAGCCCGGGTTGATGGGGTCTGAGCATATTTCCATCAGCCAGCGGCTACCACAGGCACGATCGGATGCCATTGTGACGCGCGACATGAAGTTGTTGTCCACACGCCAGTCTTCTAGCAATTTCCAGGCCAGCTGGGCCGTACTCAACTCAGTGTGTCTGTCACGTCCGATTGTTACAGCATGTGGGTGTCTATCCCGTATCGACTCGAGCAAACTTGGGAAACATTGGCATCAGAAGGTCAAAATGTAATGCCGATCACATCAAGACTTGTTCACAACGGCTGGCTCTCGACTAAGGGGGGCTACGAGAGCTTCATAGCGAAATTTCGCTGATGGCAATTTTCGAGCCAATGCACTGGTCAACTTTTTGCTAAATAACATCTCGTTATTGCTTCCCCCAACAAGTGCCAAGGTAGCTTCGCCTCCCTGATTTTGTCACGCTGCTGATGCTGCAGCAGTTATTGACCGGCTCCGGGTGTGCTGGCCCGAAGCTCTGTATCGTGATGATTCTTCGCAATCACGTTTCATCTCAAATTGTCCGGTATTGCGTTGTGATAGTGCGAGTGTCGCTGGGGACGGCGAAAGTCCTCATCATCTGCCACTGCGTACTCGGTTGCAATGCTGATCTGGCCCTTTCCGTCCCCAGTGTATAGCTCTGCAGACGACCTCGACCGAGTGAGGCGTCGCTCAGACCCGTCGCCGTCGCCTTCGGTGGCCTTGTCATCTTCTTCCCCCTTGTTCCTGTTGCCACTTCTGTTCCAGAGCGTCGCAAGCTGATGCGCCTGGCCGCTGCTGACCACGCCTGCACTTCCCTGAGACGACTTCTTTGTTCCACTGACAGACAGTTCGCCTTTTCTCCAAATTGAGTAGAATGCCTTGATCCCCGGCATGTTTGCGGCGAAAATGCCGACCTGGATCTCGACGGCCGAGATCAGGATCATCCGGCCGAGAATATAAGTGAAGTCCGGGTTGGTAGCGAACTGGTTGACCACGACCAGCCGGAGGCCCGACACGACCACGACGACCCCGCCCATAGTGATGACCGAGTACACGGCGAGGCGGCGTCGCCAGCTCATTTGCAGGCCCCAGAACACGGTCACAGGAAGGAAGAGGATAATGCAGTCGAGAAACAGTTCCTATCATTATCGTCGTCATCGTTAGCAGGATATATAATCAACAAATACTATTTCACCAAACAGAAGAAGCGTGTGTCGACATACCAAGCTTCCTGGCACAAAATAAGTCACTTTTGACGGGAGACATTTCGCCGTGGGAAATTGAGTTGGATACCAAAAGGCCTGGAGAGGATCGCATTGGAGACAATAGATCAGCCAGATGGTGACGGTGATTGTAGCGGTCAGTCCGATGGTGCCGAAGACCAGCATTCGATACGTTCTTTCCTTGCCGAGGCGGAGGTAAAAGAGCAGGAAGCAAAGTTTGATCCAGAAGTGCATCCAGATGTAGTATATTTCTTCGGCGAAGAGCACCTGTGGCAGGAGAGTTCAGCTTGTGTTGTGGCGAGCGGGTGTAGATAGGGGAGAACTGTACCTTCAATATCGTGGTCAGGTTGTCGGGGTTCTCTGCTAGGACTTCCTGCATTTGTCTATAGGAATTTCATCAGCAACTTGAAGATAAGGCCCGGATTTTGCTTGTCGTAAAACCATACCGACCGCCACCGTGATTGAGGAACAAATACAAGACGACTTGTTGGCCTGCATTGAAGAACTTGATTTGGTGTTAGCCTTGCGCCCTGGACATGAATCATGCAGGAAGGGAGCCTCATACCAGACAAAAGAACATGGCCCAGTCATCCCAGCCCAGCTGTTGCAAGATGACGCCTCTCGTCCACAAGCGAAGAAGGATGCTTCCTTCACCAATGACGAAGAGTATGTTGATGACAACATGGCAAATCGGCTGAAGGCTCTCTGGCTGACCCATTCTGATTGTAAAAGAAAAAGTGAATTGTCGAATAAACCCTTCTGACCAGCAGACTTGAAATCCTCAGAGGCTCAGAAGGTCGTCCATCTATTTATTGTCGAACAAGAAGACGAGACGCTTTGAACTGACAGCTATCATCAGGGGACAACCTGGACAAGGCTACATACCTGCCTTCGTGGGTCTATTCTGAAAACTTCAAGAGATCGTCGACCGTCGATCACACGCCCGGGGACCTAAATCCGTGGGCCTGGGGGAGTTGGTTAGTTCGCATAGCCTTGAACCGTCCCTTATTGCTCCAACAGAGAAAAATGGGGAGGTCGAAAAAAAAACGGTCCCAATGGGGATACCAGATCCTGGTACAAAAAATTGAGTTCAAATTGCCTCTCACTCCATGCGTGAAGTCGACGAAACGAGCAATTGTGGCTGGGATGTCCCCGTAGGCGAAGACGCCGAAGAGCTTAGAAATTTCTCTCTGGCCCCTCAGAGAGGTGGTCATAGCGGATCCTAGGCGGATGAATAAACCATGACCATGAAAACTGGGAACTCGATAGAGGGAGAAGTAGAATATGTCTTGGAGACGACGCCAAAATACAGTTACCGGCCATATTAAAGCTGTCAGAGCTTGCACTTTGCAGCCTGCTACAGATTTTGCTTTCCCCGCGGACAGGGAGCCCCGGGCCTTGCTCTTGCGTTGCTTAGGGTGGCTCACTGGAGCGTTATGGGAGGGTAAGGGACCGGGAGGGTGCGACATATACCGTACGAGCGTTTCTCGACAACCCTGATGATCGACAAAAGTCGCATTACCCGTCGAGAAGCATCCCTACCATTGTTCACAGGGGATTCGGCTCTATAAAAGACCAAGCACAGCGAAGGCGGTTCCGCTCTTAGTCAGGCCCAGACTTTGAAACACCGGAAAAAAAGAGTTTATGCGAAATATGGGTTGAGGAATGGGTTTCTGGATGAAGGGCGGGTGACAGTGGTGGGCGAGTGAGATACGACCAAGATCTCAGTTGCGAGGTTGGCCGGAGACTTTGTTGCATCCAATCATCCCCTCAGAACTTACAAAGCTTATTTTCACCGAAAAAGATCCTTTTCAACCAAACCTGATTGACATCAACTAGAGGCGAACCGGGCCGCGGACCGGGACAACAACGGGTCCAATGTTGGGGAACACCGATTTGCAACGGTCGCCATCTGGTCGAAACCACTGTGGGAACAGGGTTACTCGTGTGGGATACCATTAGGTACTGCCTTCAAGGATCCAGGTACAGGTGATGCCCGAATGTGGTCCCTCGAGGGCCTACTTATCATAACCATACTGATCGACAGGATCGACGAGGAGGCAGCAACGGTTGTCGGGTTTGTGGGGAAGAGGCCTTCCTAAGGAGGCAAGAAGGGCGTGTGGCCTCCGCAAGGCTTCCCCTTGATACGCCAACGGTCTGTTCAGAAGGGGATTAGAGTACGTTAAGAAGACGCAAAGCCCGTACCAGTACCACATACCCATTTACTCGTGGAGTCGTTGTTGCAACAAGCCTTCCACTTTTCATCTCCCCATGCTCAAAGCGACAACGCAGCCGTTGGTGATCAGCGTACTCCAACAAAAATACTGGGCGTCAGTGGAGACCATGGATACTCGTGTGGACGTGTACTCGGTACCACTCCTAGAGTTAATAGCCAGCTGCCTTATATTTTCTCGATATTAGATGGAGAATTAGGTGCGAAAGAGGATAATGAGAGGTCAGTACAACACATACCTCTCACAGGATCCTCTGAACAATATCCAAATGATCTCGACAAGTTTGCTACTGGTCGTGTCAGAGATGGATTTGGATGTGGATAATTGACGTGGCCCCAAGATAACAAACTCCACTGATCGACGAAGGATGAAACGGGAATGGCACCCATTATTACTTGCCGGCTTTCTCCGTTGGGCCGTTGGGGCCTTTAAAGTCTTGGTTGATGTGTAAGTGTGTATGTCGACACAACAAATCATCCTGCTCGTCGATCTGCACAACCGCCAACGGTGGTGAGGCACATGTATATAGTAATATGCGACCCACAACCGCGCCGCACCAGCAGACATCACAGTCCAGGATCGTGTCCTTATGAGGAAAGACTCCTCTCGGTGTGTACCGCAGGGAACAATCGATCGTCGTGATTCTGAGCCTAGACTTTACCCCATTTGCTTTCCTGCTTCGCAAAGCGAGACAAGGCTAGACCTAGTATTTGCTAACCGAAAGCTCGGGTCGTCCTGAGGACCAGTGAAAAGTTCCGCGTGCACACTCGGAGGTACTAGCATATCAAGGGTAAGGCGCAACCCCTGCTTCCTGACTCGCTAACGAAGCCGGTTCAACGGTGGTGCGTCGGAGCACTACTACTGAAGTGTCAGAAAATTGGAGAGCCTTGGTTTGCTCTTTGTCGAAGTCCTAGTCGAAAGATGTCTGCAGGACGCTTTTCAAGAGTGGAGCCCTCCTGGCAGGCTAGCATTTCTCTGTCGGACTTACCAGTTTGGTATATGCCTTATTAACCGGGACTCTCCTTCTGGAACCCTTGAGGCCTGAATGCTTCTCTTCTCTACCAGCAGATAGTTGATTCCATTCCGAGACGTCGCCCGAGAGGTGATCCTTCCCGCAAACATGGAACCTGCGTGGACGACCATGAACCTCCTCAAGCGTGCATTGGACGCCGAACTCGGACTTACTGCGGCCACCTCCTTCGCGTTGGGAGTAATCTTCCACCAAGGTATACGTCCAATCGAGATTGACAACCGAGTATGGACGCTCCTCATACTTTTCTCGAGCTTCAACACGGCAGCTTTCTTTGGCTATGCTTTTGTCGTACCACATGGGATACTGGCGGCAGGCCTCAGAGTTTTCGTCGTGGATAGCGCATTTCTTGCTGGTGTGTATGGCAGCATTGCCATCTATCGGTTGTTCTTTCATCGGTTGAGGAAATTTCCCGGGCCCTGGGGCGCGAAGCTGTCTCGGTTTTGGGCTCTCAAAAGATCCCTGAGAAAGGTCCAGTTTAACTATGAAGTCGAGACCCTGCACAAGCAATACGGAGACTTTGTTCGGATCGGTATTCAAGATTGCAACTGCCAAAGCCGCCTCTGCTGACCCTGGGTATAGGTCCTCGCGAGATTTCAATCAACCGGGCCTCTGCCATTGACCTTGTATATGGGCCTCCTTCCAAGTTGCCCAAATCGACATGGTACAGCCAAGTGTCGGATGACATTAATAAATGCTCCATCAACTCGACACGGGACATGCAGGTCCATCGACAGAGACGACGGGCTTGGGACCGTGGATTTAGCGTCAAAGGTAACTCGCCGTTCAGATCTCCAACGGGCGGGTGCTGACTCCATGCTGCTAGCACTCTCAACGTACGAGCCCCGCGTGAAAGCTAAGACAGATCTCTTGCTTTCACGGATTGCTGCGTCCGGAGGCTCGGCGATGAATATCACCGAGTGGTCAATGTTTTACACTTTCGATGTCATGGGCGACATTGGCTTGAGTAAGGACTTTGAAATGCTTACCACTGGAGGTGAACACAAAGCCATCAAGGGGCTGCATGATCAAATGATCACGATCGGCACTCTCGGCACTCTCCCCTGGCTGCTCGCATTTTTCAGCGCCATTCCTGGAATTGCCGGCACCTTTCAGGACTTTATGGAGTACTGTCGCGAGCAACTCGAGGAGAAGAAGAGAGTCAGTGCCCGACTTCCCCTTCCAAGATGCACCGAAAGCTGCTGACAAGTTGAATCTCGTGCACAGTCGACGGGCAAGGACCAAGAGCCTCGTGATGTTATTTCTTGGTTGATCAAAGCCAAGTATGAAAATGACCACTCCGCGCCGCCTTCGGACTTTGCACTGAGCGAGGATACTCGCCTGATCATCATTGCTGGAAGGTATGCCACCGTCGGTCAACTCGCGATGCTCTGACGGCAGCACCTTTCTAACGCTTTCATCAGTGACACCACCGCGGCCGCTCTCGCTAACACATTCTTTTACCTGGCGAGAAATCCGACCGTGCAGCAAAAACTCCAGAAAGAGCTGGATACCATATTTCCCGCTGGTGAGAAGGATTGGACGTACGAGAAGGCGAAATTTCCGTATTTGGACAACATCATCAACGAATCTTTGCGCCTCAAGCCTCCTGTGCCAGGTGGTCTTCCTCGAATCACCCCTCCGCAAGGGCTGCAGATTGATGAAATATATATCCCCGGAGACACCATCGTCGGAGTTCCAGTTCATACCCTCCAGCGAGATCCGCGATATTTCGAGCGACCTTTGGAGTTCATACCTGAAAGATGGGAACAGATCAGCACGGAAAAGAGCCCGTTCTTCCCTTTCTCGAAAGGTATGTCAACAACCCAAGATCTTCAATATCGTCCCCTCAGGCGAAGTACAGTGCTGATCTTGATGATAGGCGCATTCGGCTGCGTAGGGAAGCAGCTTGCAATGATGGAACTTCGCATGGTCTTGTCGAGGGTTGCTCTGGGCTTCGATATTTCCTTTGCTGATGGCGAAGATGGGGTTAAATTCGACGCGGAGGTTATGGACACGTTTACGCTCACGTTGCCGCCTCTGAAGATGAAGTTCACGCGTAGACAGTCCAAGACTGAGATGTAACCTCTTCAGAGGATCAGCCGTTGCTCAGGCAGATACTCAGGCAGATAATGGCGGACGTTCGCTCGAGGTAGAGTCCAACTAGTCTCGTCCCAATGTCGATGAGATGAAGGTTACAGTGGGTTCCGAAAGGAACGGTTGTTGCCTCTTAGGAAAGTACCTAGGTAGTTTAAGGAGGTCTGTAAGGTAGGGATAAAGGGTCCGGAGCATAGCGTGCGCGACGCGACGCGTCGTTTCACTTAGACGACATCACCTGACATATCACACTAGTCTAATCCAAGAATAGCGCCAAACCGTCTACCTGCCTCGCTGCTTCCTTCCCAAATGTTCGTGATTCTCTTCTTTTTGTAGACACAGATTCATTCAAGAAAATGCATTGCTTATGCAGGTATGACTTTCTTGCTACGCGGGAAACCCCATGAATCACTGCGCCGGCCCAGAATACTGAAGACGAAGCAACCAAAAGAAGCTGCATAAGCAGAGGCTACTACCACGGAGCAACCCACGTAATGACTTTGAAAGGGTACATTGCCATATTCGAAGGGTTCATCCAGGTCCCTGATGGGTCTCGCTCCCCACTATGATAGGTAAAGCTCCTAAATGGTCACCGTCGGCTTCTCATTTCTTCTCTCTTTCACCCTGAGGGGAGGGTCTGAGAGGCGGCATTATCTTCGAGGACGTTCGTGCTACGAAGCCTTACCCAGAGCAATTCGAAAGGTAAAAGAGATGGATATTTGCCTATTCCTCGTTAAGTCGACAGCTACAGCCTTTCAATTTCTCATGTCCTTCTCATCCGTCCATGCGCCCACAAACTGCAAGCTCTGGCAACTTGTCTCACTCTTGGCAGGATTGTCACTCTTCGACTCCCCATCCGTGGTCTTGAATTTGGAGAGCTCTCCCGCCAGTTCATCTGCAGCACGGAGCTGCTGATTGATCGAGTCCCATCTCTGCCGCCCCTGATCTCCTACAGGGGAGTAGCCATGGCAGCCGTGGACCCAGTCTCGGGTTCGCCGGTCTCGAGTGGCTTCCTCTTGCCGGTTGTTCGCACCCAAGTCGGGCTTCATAGGTCTGGGTTGAACACCGTTCACTGCACGTAAGGTCTGCGAAGTCTCTCGCACCGTGCAGGGTTCGGAGAAGTGGATGGAGGATGTGTTGGACCTCGTTGAGGTGCCGTGCCGGAACTCTGCAGATGTGTGTCAGCAGCTGGTCCAAGCCCCGAGCAGCCGATTCTGGGGGCCTACTGTGTTCAACGTTGGTGGGGTCGGACATTGGGGGGAAACGACTGGTTGAGGGCTGCGTTATCAGATGAAGAGATGGATTCATCCGTCAAAGAGACGTGGGCCGATGGTCTACTGCTGCAATCCTTTTATGGGATTCCAGGTTTCTTGTCTTGTAAGTGCTCGACGGTCTACCGTGGTTGAAGTGTCTTCTATAAGTAGGGATTGGGGTGCATTGACCTCTGCAATGGTAGGCCGCCGCTCTGTAGGCCACTTCTCTCTACCACCTTTGTAGGCCACTTCTCTCTACCACCTTTGTAGGCCACTTC